TAAATTAAAGGACTGGAGGTTTCGTGATGAACAAGCTGTTAACAAAACAATTTTTCACTTTACAGCTTCTTTTGATATGAAGACACAGTAAAGCAAAAAGCCTTTAGCATGAGTTTCCATGCTCTTCTCTTTGTAATCTTGTTTACAACATGTCAGAACTTCCCTAATCCTTTTTTCCTGCTTCCCAACTTTATTTATGGCTTATTTAGTTTGATGTGATGATTAAACAATGACAAACTAAACAAAATCATAATAAGAGAAATATGAGGGGACTCATACAAAATAATCATATGCATTTGATGGTTAGGGAAAACCTTGTACTGTAACATAGATCTTTGATATTGGGGTATTTATTAAGCCTTGTACCTCTTCTTTGCAAAGTGTTTAATAAGGGGGAAGATTTAATGTGCTTCCTTCCCCTTTCCAGATGTAGATGCCATCCTCACCAAAAAGAACCCTACTTTTCATTGCACAAACTTGTCACATTTCAAAACTCAATAGATAATGTACGACAGTTTTTGCAGATTCATAAATCATGTTGGGCTGAGCATCAAATGCACATCCATAAAACCCTTGTTGATGAAATACACTTTTCATTAATAAAAAACAATATCAGATATTAATCATAATATACATATAATCTAAACTGTCTTCCCAAATGCAGGTATTCAGGCTCTACTTCTGTTCAGACAAAAACCAAATGCATTGTACCATACAGTCACATTTTATATTTTTAAAAATCACATTATATTCAGTATTACATAGCATTTGTTTTTATTGTTTTGACTAGCTGATTCATACTATTCCATGAACCTTTATATAACATAATGAACTCCATTAGTGTTCTTGGCCTCACTTCTGATTTTGCTGTCAAAGCCATTCTGTAAGAATATATAACAAGTTCAATTCCAAGGTGTGTGCAATATATCATAAACAATACTTTCTTATCATAGAGGACCCATGCTTTCAGAGCAATACAAAAAAAAAAAATCACTTGGGAATCATATTGTATTATAGAAACATTATGATCAACTTACATAAATATTTTGGTACCCCAGATCACATCAACTTAAACCATAAGAAAAAGAAATCATGATTTCACAGTTCATATATCTGATATCATTTGCCTTGGAGTAAGCAGAAAATCAGTATTCTGCATATAGTAAGCAGATGTTCTATAGATAAGTCAATCTGATAAAAAAAAAAAAAAAACATTATTTCTATAACTGGAAAGTACTTTGTGTACTTTGAACTTTAAAACTGCACTGCAGTCATAAATTAATATAATAATAAGTAATGATTACAACAACTGCTAGGAAAATGATAGCAGACTACTGGTTACGGTTTGAGTACTGTTAATTAAAAGTTAATAAAAAAACAAAAGATAGAACAGTATATTTAGATATTAATACCAATTTCTTAGCAATACTCAAGGTTTTGCCATTTTTTAGGGACCAAGCTTTTCAAGTTTTCCAAGCAGTTGTAGTCCTTGGTACTTTTTGGCAATAAATTTCTACCAGTGCTTGTCAAAAAGTAATACTAAGATACATAAATGTTTTGCTAGATAGTATTGCTGGTAATCTTTTACTAATACTTCCTGTTTTGCCTTTCTTTTAATCCTTAGAGGTACTGCTAGAACATTTGAAACAGATTTCCTTGTAGTTTCCGCAATATGTCCTTTTTAATAGTCTAAAAGTGGTACCACTGGTACTTCCTAACACTAATGATTTTATGAGTGACTTAGATCTTCAGAGTTGTTGCTTTTAACCATTTTAAAACAGAGCCAAATTGGGTTATGATGCCTATGGCAACAGAAGAAAGTTTCTGACCTCAATCTGAATAGAAGTCATTATAAAATTTAAGTACTTAAATCCTTCAACATATTCGTCAATTTATAAAGTAAATAGCATGTACAATGACTGGCATGCAGATATTCATCTGTGATATAATGGTCATTTTTTATATATAATGAAGTATCTAGAAAAGGCAGGGAGGAGACTCTCAGCTTTTACCAGCAGGAAAAACAGTAAACATATATGACTAAGACTCACTTTATCAGCATATAAAAATGTATAAAAACAATAAAAAAAAAAAATCTGTAGATCACTTATCCCTTCTCATAAGGTATCCACTGTCAATCCAAATTTGTAATGTTCATTCACCAAAATCCCAAACTTTCGAAAAATTAACATCAGTCTATGTAAATCCACTGAAAAGACTGATACATTTTGCTTGCTAATAACATTCAAAAGAACAGTGTGAAGTGTGAGGTTTATTAAGTAAAACTTCTAGAAGACATAATTAGTAATGAAAAAATAGCGCACATTATGTACCATGCAATTGCCTCCTTATCAAATCAGTGGACTAAAACAATTATCGACACCAACTAATCACAGAAGTAGGAGATATCTCCCAGAGGGACACTGATCAGAGCAACATGCACAATTGCACATTCACTGTTTGTGTTCACTTCTTCAGTGTTTTAGTCTCTCTCACTCAC